CCGGCGGCTTCATAAAAACGAGGCGTTGGCCCGGTTGCGGTGGCGGCCCAAGTTTCGGTGCAGGTGGTGCTGGCTTTCGTACGCGCGGTGGAGCCGCCGCTGCGAATGTCGGACAGCACGTTGCGGGCTCATCTGGGCATGATGGTGGTGCTGCTGCTGGTGGCGGCGGTGGTAGTGGAAGAGGTGGTGGCGGATCGTCCAGGGGAGGTGGTGGGACGGTGCGCAAGGCGCGTGTGACGAAGGCGGGGAGGGAGACGATGCTGAAGGAGAAGCTGGAGAGGCAGAAGATGGGGTTGGAGTTGGCGGGGAAAGGAGGGGCTGGTGTTGGAGTTGATGGGAGTTCCGGGGTTGGGGATGGCGGTAGTGGTGGTGGTGGTGGTGGAGGCGGAGGCAGAGGCAGAGGGGAAGGTGGAGGGGGTGCGGGTGTGAATGATAGCGCTGTGGGTGTATAGAGTGTGAGAGTGAGAGGATCTCAGGGTATTGTGATAATGGGTTGAAGATTTTAGAGGCGGAGGGGACCTTTTAAGGGGAAGAGGAGGTGGGAAACGGAATATTTGCTGCTTTTTATTAATTTTATTTTATTTTTGTTTCACTGTTTTAATCTTGTTTGCGACTGCTCCGGATGGGACGTGTGATTGGCTTGGTTTGGCTGGTTCTAAGTTCGGAGAATCTGCGAAATATATCTTGGTCTGCAGGGTTTCTATTATTCTCTTTTTCTGTGCTTTCTGCTTTCTGCTTTCTGCTTTTATGGGCTGCTTCTGGAATTCCCCATGTTATACTTTCATTTCATGCCTGCGCTGCCTAATACTCACTCTCGTCAGGCGGTTCTGTCCATCGGTCTTACTGGGCGCATATATATGCGGAAGCGTTGTTGCGGCCCTCTATTCCGTGAGTTATGTCTGTATTTCTATTTATTTGTAGGCTTTATTTCAATATTTTATGTGAGGATCGTTTACATTATGGACTTAATTATTGATGATGTCGCTTTTGCACCCTCTTTGCCTGTATCTTACTATACCCCCTTTTTTTTTTTTTTTAACACGATCACATTGGGTTCCAAGGCATTGCTTTTACCATAGAGCAGGCAGGGCACACTTAATACAGGGAGCAGTAACTAACAATGTCAGAACCATAATAAATAATATATTTCGCTCGAATTTCCCAAACAGAGTATATATCCCAAGGCTCCCCCTGCATCGCGTATACACCTGACGTATAATCCAAAAAGATAAAAAAATATCAACGTCCCACGAGGGCTTCAGAAGGAGATATCGCAACCCTCTCCACGAAAGGGAAAAGCTATATTCAAAGGTAATCAAAACAGCAGCAGGTCATTTAGGCATTGAAGCTAACGTGCACATGGTCCCTGTAGAAAAATTCCAGGTATGATTAGCAACGCTGCTCCCCGGATGGATAGACATACATACTCTCGAGCTCGAGCTCGATTTTTCATAAACTTACCAGTGATTAGCAGTGACCCCGCCTCTATCTTCCATCTGCTTCCATTGGGCCCACGGTCTAACCCGCTCGCCAGACTCCCAGATCTTCTGTCCCCAGATGACGTACGTAACCCTGAGCTCGCCAGCGTGGTTCATAACCCATTCGCCGAGTGGCTGGCCGTTGGGAGAGTGCGCCTGGTGCGAGTGGATCGAGCCATCAGCATTTATTTCGTTTGATGAAGAAATATACATATATATATATATATAGCTTATATATATAGCTTATATACCAAGGATCTAAGCACTTACACCAGTCATGAGATCCAGTGCCAGGCCAAGAGGATGCTCAGACTTGCCCGAGCGCTGCCCATAACAGCCGACGGATTTGACTTTGCCCGGATTGGCATTGATGATCTTGTACCCGGCATCGATAACATGTCTCTTGCACTTGTGCTCGGGGATCTTGACGGGGGCAGCCGCCGGAGGTGGAGGCGGCTGCTTCTCCGTGCAGCACATCACATCGTTAGGGTCCTTAGGGCAAGTCCAGGGATCATTTGGTGTTCCCGCGCCTGGTGTAGCGAAGCCCCTGCAGGCGGATTTCTTGACGCAGACGCCTGGCACGCCGCGGGCGTTGCACTTCTTCCCCCCTGAGCCTGGAGGGGGAGGGGGAGGGGGAGCTCTATCGGTACAGCACATCACGTCGGTGGGGTCTTTGGGGCATGTCCAGGGGTCCTCAGGGGTGCCAGCGCCGGGCGTTGCAACGCCGCTGCAGGCGGACTTCTTGATGCACACGCCAGGGACGCCACGGGCGTTACACTTCTTTCCCGGCGGTCGTGTGGGTGGCTTCTCCGTACAGCACATCACGTCGTTCGGGTCCCTGGGACAAGTCCAGGGGTCATCAGGCGTCCCTGCGCCAGGCGTTGCGGTGCCCCTACATGCCGATTTCTTGATGCAAGTTCCTGGTACGCCGTAAGCTGAGCAGCTACGCGGAGCGCGCTTGGCAAGATCGTCGTCATCAGCTTCGGTAAAGCTGGGTTCGACTGGAGGCAGTTCGGCGGTGCAGCATTGCCAGCCGTGTGGGGAGTGATGGCAGAATCCACCGGCTACGGGAACTCCGTTCCAAGCCTTACATTCAGCCGGGGGCATGCAGTGTCCCTCTTCGCCCTGAACGTCGCATTGTTCCCATCGCTTGGATTTGGCGGAGAGCGACGTGCAGGTGGCCGTGAGGGCTAGAATTGGGATGAGGTATCTCATCTTTTCTCAATCGATTCGTCTCGTTCGCTATTCGTAAAAAGTCTATAGCAGCAACAGCGTAGTTTTAAAGTAGAGGGAAATATAATGGATGTCGGTATATGTCACCTTCGCAGAAGTGCTTGACCCCTTGATTAGTTATGAAAATGCAAGCTATACGGGTGTCGAAGGGATTCTTATAGCTTTGATCTCTTCTATTCTTTCTATCTATCCCCTCAAGGTCTCTAAATACGTCTCCGCCTCGCCGCTCGGACTCTGTCCTCGTGAGGCTCACACTTCTTGCCTCAAATACGATGCAAGTCAGCCCACAACCAAAGTGGCAGTCGATCAGGCCTCCTCCACATTGGGAGGATTTCCCTTCAGGGCAGCTCCTTGAAAGCCGGAGAGACCAAAAGAGACTCGTGGCATGAGGCATGATACAGAGTGATGCTGGTAAAGGCCATATTCTCCATGGAAAGCGAGGTATTGGTGTACCAAGGACGACAGAAGGAAGCCATGAAACAGATGGCAAAGGGGAACCAGAGAGCAACCGTAGAAACGATCAAACGATCAAACGATCAAACGAATCAAATTGTAATAATTTGCTGGCCAAACGTTCCCCCCTAGCCAAGTATGTCAGTCACAAGAAGAATGGGACATCCTCAAGCTGGCTGAGCCTCAATTGCAAAGTGTGTTCATTCTCACCCTGACGTGAAGATCGCACTGGAGATCAGTCTGATTGAGACATGAAATCATTTTCTCGTTCATAAATGCACGGATAAGGAAACGAACTGCCCCGCGGTAATTATAGAACACGAAATGCTTGCAGCGGGGTTGTGCCTGTCCCCCGGGCGTTGGGTTGGAAGCTCACTCCATATCGCGGATCCCCAAGCAGATCTCCGATTGCTGACTGGCTGGTAACTAAACCTGCCAGTGCGCAGGGTTCCAGGGGGAGGCTTGTTGATGTTTCGGCTGCCGAGAAACGCGGCGATGCTGCATGCCGCTCCTGTTTCATCACGGGCGATCGCCATGTTCTGCGTCGAGATTGAGGAGTCTGAGGTTCTGGTCATGGCCATGGCCAACCGCACTGAGAACACTTCCTCTCCATATGGAATTCTTGCCATTTGATAATAAGCATGAGCTGGTCTTCCTCGTATGGCGCGGGCATCAGCATCTAGTAGTCAAGTGTCGATATCCGTCGTATTCACCAAATCCCATCTCGCCCAAAATGACTGCAGAGTAACCAAAGTCTCCTTCAGCCTTTCTTGAAGACTCAAGAGAAGAGATCATCACTGTTATTATTGCGATGTTGGACGCGGTTCATTGTGGATACGAAGCTCGAGATGCAGCGAGTTATCCGTCTCCGTGTCCCCACTTGAGCCAAGACAGCGCGCTCGCTCTCCAGAAGTTAACCAAGCAGTTAGTTAACGCTATTTTAGGGCTTTGCAAACCGCAACCCAACCAGACTTAGACTAAGCAGAATAGCGAGGGAACAAGTCCTGAGGCTATGAACCTGTTTGTGCCTGCAGATCAACACGACCTCCAAACGAGCAGTTGGTTCCTGAGAAACGATTCCGAGCCGCCAACGGAGCATCTGGAAAAACGAATTCTAGAGATAGCACAACTAACTCACTCTATCCACCCTCATGTTGGCCATCGCCGGTCAATTGACAAGTTGATTGGGCGCAAGGGAGGCTCAACCTCGAGGCGAGCGATGAGCAAGTTACTGTTTGTGACGGAGTGATCCCCATCTCGACTCGCTATATATCCACGTATACGGATAATATATCCTGGAACTGACACTTCTGAATCCCGTTTGTATCGATGCAAGGACACGCATAAAAGTAATCCCCCGGGATGCAGCCATTCTACAGCCTTTTCTCTGGTTATACCGTGGAAATTGTTAAGTCTCGGTTGAAAGCTCTCTTGAGTGGACGAAGCGGACGAATGCAAGCCGCGACTGAAGTGCCGTCGTACGTGCCTGTGTCCGAAGGCGCCTAATCCGATTGTGAGATATTATGGAATCTGGTTTTGCCGCATGCAGCTGAGAAAAGTCTGTTCCATAGTGTGCTAATCTGTTGAACTATAAATGTGCATGTACCTCATGAGTTGCTCCTACAAGCTGAGAGCGAGAACTCGGTTCTGCTAATCATTTTTACAAGTTATGATAGCTGGTATTAACTGGTGATCATATTACAAATTCTTGGGGTAAAATTTACCGACATACGCAGTCTAATTATGTATAAGAATATATATACCTTCCTCAAGAAGAAACCTTCCCGCAGCCCCGATCAAACTCCATAGGGTTGATGAAGGTCTCGCATCCTTCATTGTTCAGCCCAAGCTGGATGAGAGTTTTCTCTGCAACAAATCTATTGCGTTAGAACCGCGTTGCTCTGGTTGATCGCGCATGAGAATGAACATGGAAGATTAGGCACGCACCCTTAGGTTTAAAAATTGGCCACCCTATCTGTTTCAAGCCGCCCCTAGGATCGGCTGCAAAGCGTGCCCAGGCATTCTGCATAACTTTCTTGAGTTTGGTTTGTTCCTGCGACTCAGGCAACCCGCTAACGTCACGGGATGCCCCGAATATCATATGCAGGTCAACGCCGTGATACGCACGACTGTTCGGATGCAGACGCGTATTATCCCAGTCGGCATAATATCGGAATCTCCAGACGGGAACACCGTGTTTGGCACGGTCTGCAGTTGTTTGCGAGGTAGGGCAGGAAAAGACTTCGTAATTAAACTCTTCCCACTCCTCAGGTGTAAGGATGTTTCCCCTCGCGTAAGCGGAGATGTTGTAAAAGCCTGCTTCGTTGTCAGTGTGGCCGACCACATATGGCTGTTTGTTGGTTTCGTTTGGTTAGCGCAACTACTCAAGCAAAATGGGCAACGAAAAATAATCATCTTGGTGCGGGGAACAAAAGAGCGTCTGTCAATCGGATCAGGTTAAGGAACAGGAGAGGCGATAATTACAATTCGAGCAAATTTGCCTCCTGAAGACAGCGAAGCGTAGTTATCAAAAACGACTCTACCATCGGGCGTAGGTTGAAACACAGGCTGGGAGCGCGCGACGCTGGAACCAGGAGGAGGGGGAATGGCAGTAATGGCTTTTTTGATTTCTGTCGCACTCTTCCTTCTCATACAGGGCATGACATCGCCCGACGAGCCACATCCCAGCAACGTGCTGGCATTGTACCAGTGCCGAGTTGCAAGTTCCCTTGAATTGACCGGGAAGCTGAACACGGTGCCGGAATGTGAGATCAACCCTGCAACGATGGGGTCCTTGGCCCAAGCATAGGACCAGAAATCAACTGCTACACTTCCGGCAGATTGGCCAAAGATCGTAATCCGCTTCGGGTCACCACCAAAGGCTTTGGCATTGTCGCGAACCCACTCCACTGCAAGGCGCTGGTCAAGCAAGCCCAAGTTCTGAGTTATACCTGGTGCCCCCGGAAAGCCGAAGATATTGACTCTGTAATTGACTGTGACGATCACCACGTCTTGAGCTTCCGCGAAATACTTGCCGTTCAAGTATGGTGTGTTTGTAGCACCAGTCGTGTATCCTTAATTTAATGCACGTTAACATCTGCTGGCGATTTTTTTTTGTGGGGGGGGGGGGGGAAGTGCGATTGATGTTTGTGGCTTACTTCCGCCATAAAAGAACACAAGAACCGGCTTTTTACGACTTTTGCCATTATTTGCGCCGGACCAGATGTTGAGAGTCAAACAGTCTTCACTTTGCGGGTTATTATTCTGACCCGCGAAAGCGGCCAGAACACGTTTGAACTGAGGGGTCTCATTTGGGAAATCTACCCGTGAGGAAGCGGTGAAAAGACAATCGCTATCAATACCATTGTTAGTATGTATTTACCTCAGATCCACTCAAATGTTCATATCAAAGCAAGATATGAAGCACGGCATAAAACATACTTCGACTAGAAAAGAGCACGCAATCATAGTCAGTTAACAAAAAGAAAAAGAAAAAATATATATATATAAATAAAGGCAAGGTCCAAATACTAGAGAATTCATGTGAGAGGGAGGATGCAATAAATAAGACGATCATGCTTGGTTGAGGTGGGGGGGGGGGGGGGGGATCTTTCGTGGCAGACTGACAAACTTTGAAGCTTCAAATATGAGTTTCAACGAGGGCCGTCGTGGGGCAGAAAATCGAAGATCTGCAACTGGAGGCTTTGCATATGGGATTCCCAAGAACTCTTGGACATCGCGAACGCCAGTCGCGGAATGACCGATGATCAGTCCATTGGTGGTCAGAACAATAAAAAATGAGAAACCGAGATCGATCAACGCGAAGGAGACCAAGAAGAAAAGACCTTTCATTGCGCTCTCTGTGCCTTGTGAGACTGCCCAAATAAACCGAGTCATAAATAAAAGAAAAGAGAGGAGGGTGGTCGGGGATGAAACATAATTGGGGACTCTTAAGAACGCAAAACTTAGATTGATGCACGGTCAATAAAGCCAATGTAGCATTTGAAAGCAAATGGTCCATTATTTCATCATTTCCATGCAATCATAGCCGAGATGACTGGGAGACATCCATGCATGATTTTTGGTCAGTCAGATTGACCTCTTCATCTGCTTTGTTCCGCGGGATTAAGAACGACGCTCCTCCTCGGAACGTCCCCTCAATCGAAAAAGTACGGTTTAACAAGAAGGCTAAGCCTTAGCCACAGCCGCCTAAGTGTTAATCCCGGTCAACAAGATTTAGTGTCGGCTTTTTAGCATGGAGATTGGATGATCACCAGCACCACCGTCAGCTTCGGAATATCGGGACAAGAGCGCTGGTTGTTCCTCGTCGCTCTCCAAGGTTCGAACCATCTGGTCCAACCCACAAGAAACAGAACCCAGATGGATGGGAAGAAACGTTACCCTAAGAATCCCAGGAAAACGTGGACAAGTGGAATTTGAAAATTGTTTGCCGTGCTAGTCAGTATATACATGCACTGTCAATGTCAATCGCTGAGTTAATTGCTCCTCTGTTAAACTGTCAATTCTCACCAGTTATATTAGTCTCCATGCCTCAGCTTACTGTAAGGCCCAACACAATATTCCCCCCCCCCCCTCCGGCCCCAATTCTTGTTTTCGCAAGTGCCGGATTCTTTCAGTCTTTCCACCAAATTTTAAAAATTTCAAAAAGCCCGTCAGCGAGACTAAGGCTCAATGTCGTCAAAGGCTCCCATAAGTAGTTAACATCCTCTTGGAGCTTCAAACGTTAGCATTCCAACAGTAACTCCACAACTGTCAAGAGGTATCATCGCTATCCATGAAAACCCACGACACTTGCCGTTTGACTTTCAGCCACCAGCCTTAGCTTGAGCCCCGCGTGAGACCGATCGACAAGGAAGTCAACACCGGACATTGGTTCCGAAGATATTATTCATGATACGCAGTTCGCCGACATTGGATCTACTGCGCACCCGTGTCCTTTGGTGGAAAATTTCTCACATGTTGTGTTCCAAAGATTCGAAAAAAATCAGTCTATGGAGAGAGATCAGCCGAGAGGATTTTCTTCTTCTTCTTCTTCTTCTTCTTTTTTTCCCCTCTTGCTCCAATCAACAAGCGAGTAAACTAACTACGCAGCGTAAGCTTCCTTGAGAAGAAGTGATGTTAACTCATGACATGGTAAATTAATCTCCTCTCGCCCTGAACAAGGCCAGGTCGCCACGTATTTTAGCTCGCCCTCCAAGCCGGGCAGGGAAGAGCGTAGAACACCTCATGGATGGGACAAGTTTGGTAATCTTCAATCACTAAAGCTTTGGGACTCCAGTCAAGATGATTGGAGTAGAACGAAGCCTATCCATTCAGTGGAAGTAAACAACATGGATTCCCCAGTCCTCTGCTGCTGCGTACTAATTGAAATGGCAGAGCCGTCTGCCCGGGTCTTCTTCCTTTGTAGATGTTTTGGTCACCGTTGGATGGGGACATTCGCAGGGATGCAACAAGAACTTAAAGAGTATGGCATAACCCGCAACAGTTCACATCCAACTGACTGCATACGCAGCTCTTGTTATGGTCAGTATTGATCCCGCCCGAGAGGTATTTGTTTCCACTGTTCGATAAATGGCGATCAACTATGGCCAGGGCGATGCGAACGAGCCGAGCAGGGGATACCAGTTATACATTACCTCACTGGTAATGATACTCGCCGCCTCGTTATTTGTTGCGATGCGCTTATCAACTCGGATAGCAAATAAGCAGTTCGGATCTGATGATTATATGATTGCAATCGCATTGGTTAGACACCTTTGTCTCTCCTCATGAGTTGAAAAAGGATGGATCCTGAAAGCGAAGACGTCTGTTAACCGATGTTTAGGCTTCTTCAGTTGTTATGGCAGCCGCCGTCAACTTGGGTGTGTTTTCCATTAACAGCCTGATTCGCTTCTATGGGAAGGCCCAAGGACATATACTTGCTGACATGAAATCCGTAGCGGTGGTCAACGGGTATGGGAAACGTTCAACCGATCTTGCACCAAAAGAGAAGAACGCAGCGCTCAAAGTTCGTTCGCAACCTGTTTCCGATATTTTACTTTATCAATGGCAGTCGCGCAATCCCTTTTGCTGACAGATTCACAGTGGTTCTTCATAGCCCAAATTTTTTACAAACCAGCTCTCGGGTTCACGAAGATTTCGATTTTGTGTCTCTACCATCGAGTATTCGTATCTCCCCCTTACCCACGCATATTCCAGGTCGCGATCGTGTTGATTAGCTTATGGGCGATCAGCACTACCTTGGCGACGATATTCCAGTGTGTTCCGCTAGAAGCGTCCTGGAACAAGAAAGTCAATGGCAAATGTATCCATAAAAACGCCTTCTGGTACGGATATGCAGTGACAAATACGACCACAGATTTCATTGTTTTCCTGCTGCCAATCCCAGCACTGGTAAAGCTGCATCTGCACTGGAAGGAGAAGGTTGGAGTTGTGGGCGTCTTTGCTCTTGGATTCTTGTCAGTGCCACAGCCCCCCCCCCCCAAACGTCTGATTCGAGAGACAAACGGTGGTTGACTTGGACGTCTTAGTGTGTGTATCACCAGCATCATCCGAACGACTGCTGTTGCGCAAACAACTTCGGGAGAAAAGGATATCACTTGTAAGCATATTCCACATCGAACCCGTTCCCTAAACGAACCCTTCATTGGGCTGACAGTTTGGCACCTCAGGGGACTTTATTCCCAGATCAACGTGGACCTCGATAGAAGCAAACACCGGCATAATCTGCGCATGCCTTCCCATACTGAAGGGGCCTCTCGTCAGGTTATTCCCACGGCTCTTTAACGCCACGACAGCCAAATCGAAAGGATCCTATCCATTCAGTCAAGAATCATATAACCTCCACCAGCGGTCCAACAAGATGAAAAATAAAAACCTGGGAAGAGAATACATGACAACTGTCTCCAGGCCTGAAAGCATTGTAGCAGATCCATGCACGGCAAGCGAGGAACACATCCTCGACGAAGAGAGAATCCATAGGTGGCCTTTGGAGGATCGAATTGAGAGGAAAACAGACGTCACCATTAGCTACAGTAAAAGGGGACCATCCCAAGATTTTAGATAGACACGACCTTGCATGAGCGTAGGTTAGCAAATACAACTATCCCTTGTATATTGACATACGCAAGAAGAATTCAAAAGTAGCATCTTTTGACATTTCTTCAATGGGGCACGCTGCCAGTCACGTGAATATGTCACGTGAAGAAAGAGCTTAATAGCTAACGAATTCTCAAATCTTAATAACTAAACTGCAGAGGACGAAGGGAAACAAGGAAGAATCCAAATTCATGAGGGTGAAATTCGGGAGAGTGAAATTGGATAGCCTTGATTACAGCTGGTAAATGAATGTTCAATGCTTGATCCAATTAGAGATCGAGTAACGAGTTAACTAGTGATTGGATACTTGATTCTGAAAGAAATTCTTAATTGAGTGTTCACTCACTCACTGACTGACTGACTGACTATAGTTAGAATCTCTTGCATCTTGATCTCATAATTGCAAGTTGCGGTGATAACTGGTGCATACAGATCCCCGAGTTCACCTGGTATTAATACAGAAAACAAATCGTGAATTGGTTACTCGCTCGCTTAGAGTTAACTTCAGCTATTTATGGTTAGAGAGAGCTACAAACACCACGGTTTCCCCAACCTCGCAGAGGACTCTCCATTCTTCATCAGCATCAATTGCGGGTTCACGAGCCATCCATCAGCATCCGTTTACACCAAAATATCCTGCTGCGGCACAAGCGTACTTAGTCTCGTTCCCAAGCACCCCGGCAGCTCTGTCGTCGCAACTCCAAGGGCTCGATAACCACCGCGAATGCAGTCTGCTTCCACGCCCTTTGCTCGCAAAACGCTGGTTGCAACACGCGATGTGTCTCCATTATAACACAGCACAAGAACACGCTGTTCATTGAGGTTCGCAGAATCCTTTACCCGCTCGAAGACGCTTTCAAGTTCCAACCATTGTGCTTCCAGCACTTTCGGCTCAGCGAATGGACTGGGCGTTTTGGCGGCCAGACTCTTCAGCGGAACGTTCATGGCGCCCGGGAGATGCCCGCTCTCATAGTCGACTGTCTTCCGCAAATCAATTACATAGGTCTGTGCCTTCGCATTGATTTTGGCCCAGGAATAAGCCTTCACTGCTTCAAAGGGCTCATAGAAGCGGGGAAGAACGTCCATGGGGTGTAGTTCCCACGCCTCGTCATAACGGTAGAGGTCGACTTTGGTCAAATTCTGGCAAGCCATAAGTTTTAGGGCCTCTCCGGGATGGGCTGCAAGGATGACAAAACGGAGTAGAAGGTTGGTTGGCATTTTCCACTTACCTCATTATGGATTGCAGGGAATTTCGCCGGCCCTAATTTCTGGAAGTACTCGTCGATGTACTGGTATGGCAGATCGCAACACAAGAAAACGCAGTGGGTTAAGCCATCAGAACCTGCGAGCTCTGACAAGGTTCCCTCTGACTTGCGCTTTCTTAACATTCGCAAAAGCCCGCCTAGGTTGAATCCCGACGATGGCCCACAGACCAGACCCTCCCGACACATATCGAGGGATAGTGAAAAGGATTCGAGGGATCCAACTTCCTCTATTGCGTCGACAGCCTCTCTCCACGGGAACTCAACGGGGAGAAGAAGAGAATAGGATCTTGGACCTGGAACTCGGTCCCCCGGAGCTGTGCAAACCCCAAGCCGAAAGACTGAAGGCTTCGCTTGCTTGAAATAAGTGCCCAGTCCTGTCATTGTCCCTGAAGTCCCCATGCCTGCGCAGATCACGTTTATTTGAGGAAGTTGCTTCAGGATCTGCGGCCCTGTCCAGCGGATATGTGCCTTCCAATTGTTTTGATTTTCGTATTGATTCGGGTTGACGACATCGTCGGAAGCCATCGCCATTTTTTTGGCGTTCTGGATCCCGCCGCGCTCGTCTAGTGGCTCGGGTTGCGACGGTCCTCCAAAAAGGGTGATGTCGAGCCCAAAGAATTGCATCAGTTTCAATTTTGTGTTGCTCGTTTTATTGCTGAGATATGCTCTGACATCACTGATATTGTGGAATATTCTCGCGATCAATGACATCGAAATAACGGTCGATCCAGAGCTGTACTCGATGATTGTACTTGTTTTACCTGGTACAACATTGGACTCTAGCATATTCAGCGCTAGATGAGAAAAGGGGGTCTAGTTAGCCTCACGCATGTCACCCCGGAAATGCACTGCGCGAGAAGACAGTACCTGGAATAGCCTTCACATTGTTTGCGGGGTGCATTGCCATGACCTTTGCATATATCCGCACCCCGTCTTTATAAAGAGGATTCAGGCGCTCCGGAATTTCCACCAGCGGTAATGGAGGCTGGCAATCAGGGTTGAAATATTTTCTCAGGGCATCAGGGCCATAATACACATTGAGAACATTAGGGTCCGCCATGTTTTCATAAGGTTGGAGGTGAAGGCTTCTGGCACGCATATAAATGGACACGAAAGTGGATAATGAGTCTCCCACAAAAGTACATACACGTTGCAGCTGAACGGGGGCAGCCTGTCGATTTATACATATTTGGCCAGCTCACTGAGATCAGTCTACCACTACAAATTTACACCGGGTGCGGATATCCACTATCAGGAATATCTGGAGATCTCCCGTTCCGTCTTGGACGGATGGTCCATTCATTGGTGGGCTGGATCCCTGAAGTAAGGATTGTCGCTGTTGAATAACCCCTAGAGCAACGTTTGAATAACATGTTGACCAGGTTTCTTTGGTATGATTAGGTCAGTTCTCTTTGCTCGAAAACTTTACTATTCGTCTAGATCAAACTAGGCGTCTGTTTTAATTTTCTTCCTTCCACTATTTCCCCTTTCTCTCCCGTCTCCTTATCGTTTTATCTCCCCCATCCAGGACAACTCAGAGATATAGCTCCTAAGGTTCCCAGTCTCAACTTCCCCCGTAGAATTTAAAACCCCTGACGAGCATCTTATCCTCTATTTTCTTGTGATGAAATGTTACAAACGAAATGCTACGTGGCAGGGCAACGTTTGGGGACCTGGAGATACTGACAAGTACCTTGTGGTCAACAGAATATTGAGATGTGCCGAATTCTTTTCCGAGGACCTTGAGATGCCCAGCCATCATGGATTGGTATCCCGTTGTTGTTTGTTCCTGATGTCTTATCCGAACTACAAATCGAAGAGAGGAACTTCACGGATCTCATCATCGTTGGACTGTGGAGCATGTTTCCTTCGTGAGAAATGCCCTGTATATAAGGCGGGTCGAAGTCTGGAACCCTCTCAAACACCCTCAATTAACGACTTGCTACCGTTTACATCACCTCGCTCCCCCCCTCCACTCCTGGCGCCCCCCTTCTCCCCCTTCGCCGCCGCGATCTTTATTCATTGCGCTCATTCACACATTATATATGGAAATAAGAAAGATTTTTTCATTCTCTAACTTGCAGGCCAAATAGTTTCCTTCATAGATTAGAAGTTGCTGAGGAAATTCTACTGTTCGTCGCCAGCTCCAGCTGCCTTCCGAGCCGGAAAAATGAACGGAAGCTCCACTGTTTCCGAGTCCACTCAATGTTCAAAGACAGATACGCCGTCGGATGATGGTAGCAATGGAGCAGGGGCCGAAAAAGGGAGTCCCCATGTCTTCAATGAGCAGACAAACTTCGTTCCAAGGCGCACCATCATTACTGTTAGTATATGACATGCACATAAGAGACGAAGTCATCTATGCTAACCAACATTAGATATTCCTGGCATGTGCCAGTCTTGATCTACTGGCTTTAATAGACCAGACCACTCTAGCCGCCAGCCTTTCAATTATATCAAATGATCTGGCTGCGGGGGACGAAACGTTATGGATAGCTGGAGGTTATTTCGTGTAAGTCAATCGTATATCATTGATGGTTACTTGGATTGTGGGCTGTATATCAACATTGTTGCAAAATTGCTAACATACAAAAGGACGTCGACGTGTTTCCAACTGCTTTACGGGCGCTTTTCTGACATCTGGTCACGGAAAGTAATCCTCTACATTGGTCTCGTCATCTTCTTCATAGGATCTCTAGCATCCTCTCTCGCACGAACAGCAATAGAGTTGATCGTCTTCCGCGCGTTGAGCGGCATTGGCGGTGGTGGCTTGATAACTCTAGGGCAGCTAATAGTCAGTGACGTCGTTCCGCTCCGTGAACGGGGAAAGTATCAAGGTATTTTAGGTTCTGTAGTAGCCCTCGCCAACGGCATCGGACCGGTGATTGGCGGTTCCTTAGCCTCGATATCAAAGGGCTCATGGCGGTGGATATTTCGTCTCAACCTCCCGCTTACAGTACTTGCCATCCTCTGCGTCAAATTCTTCATGCCGCTAAGAAAAGTAGAAGGAAACTGGCGGGCGAAACTTCGGACGATAGATTTCACTGGCGCTTTTCTTGCGCTTGGCGGGACAGTGGTGCTCATGCTTGGCCTGGCATGGGGTGGTGAATATCCATGGAACTCAATACAGGTCGTTACCTCATTAGTCGTTGGGGTTTGTGTCTCGTTAGCGTTTGTCCTTTGGCAATGGAAGGGGGCATCTACTCCTCTGATACCGATGCATATTTTTAAGTCGCGTCTAGTCAATGGAGCCTGTCTGACGATGTTCATCAATGGGTGGAATTCTGTCGTTCAGCTCTACTACATTCCTACGTTCTATCAGCTGGCATACGGCTACTCGGCTACCAAGGCGGCTTCGTTGCTGCTACCGGTCGTATTAGTTCAGAGTACGTTTTGCAATTCTCACCCCTTCTCGAGCCAACCTAGATTTCTAAGTTGTTCCCATCGGTTTTTCTAGACACCGATTTCTACCAGTCATTTATTTTTTATTCTTTTCCCCCCCACTGTTAACTAATTTACACTAGCTGTTGGCAGTTCACTTTCCGGCCTTTTCGTGTCCTGGGCTGGTCGCTACCGAGAATGTATCCTTTTAGGATGGGTTATTTGGGCCATTGGCCTTGGTCTATACTCGACGCTTGATAGCTCTTCGGGACTTGGAAAGCAGATTGGGTATGGGCTGTTGACCGGTGCTGGTGTGGGGAACACTCTGCAGCCGTGAGTAACGAATGACGCTATCAAAGCCTTTTGAATCACTGTGTATGAAAGCGTACTTACAATCCTCCAGGGCTCTCATTGCCATCCAAGCAGGCGTTGAGCGGCGTGAAATGGCTGTCGTGACGTCATTTAGGAAGTGAGTCTATAGACACGAACACTCTTGACCACTCTTCAAGAATATCAATAGCTACTAACGTTATGAATTCCTCACGCAGCTTCTTGAGAAATCTCGGCGGAACACTTGGGATTACAACCGCAGGGGTCATCCTGCATAATGTGTTGGTCTCATCCTTTTCCTCCCTCAACCTCAGCGACTCAGAGGCCAGGAGACTTCTCAGGTCTCCTGACACGTACCTTGCTACGCTCTCGGAATCTGAGGCTTCGCGCGTTCGGTCTATTCTTATTCCGTCGTATCAGAAAGGGTTCCGAATTATATTCCTTATCGGCGCCGGGACTGCGGCATTGGCTTTTTTTCTTGCCGTTTTTCTAATACCACAAGTAGCTCTAAAGCGGCCAGATGATGATATGTTGAAAGAGGAAGGTAAAAAGAGAGTTCAGGTATCTAAAAATCGGTCCGTGCAAGATAAGGTGTGAGTGAGATGGAGTGATGGAACGTTCTCTGTTGGTATACATAAGGCGGAACCGGATACGTTGGCAGACTGCAGTTTAAAATGTCTCTAGGAGAAAATTCACAAGCTCACTGTCAGCTAAAATCTACACCTTAGTTTTGGAGCCATCTTCCTGCTCATTTTGAACACAGATGAATGCCTTTATTGGTTTCTAAACCATCCTAATGCTTAGAGCACGCCAGAGCTATGTTATCCACTCCATCGCGAAAAGCCGAACATCGATTCTCTTTGCATGTGTGTAATGGGTAATCCACCTCAAAATGCTCTACAAAATAAACTGCATTATCCAACCCGGGCTGGGAGCCCCACTTGTCTGTTCCATATCCTCCCTGGGGAGCCCTCTCTCACCACTGCACGATTGCAAACCGGTAACTATTGCCAGCAGAAACGCCTACACCGGCTTCGTTTGTCAAACAAAAATAAAAAGGTATTAGGTTGTGCATATGGTTGGCGCACTCTTTATCTGGATAGCAGACTGGCAGGGTCGACGGCTGCGTGTCTATCTCCGCTGCTTCGGCGTTTGTATGGCAACTGTCGTGACAGCTTTGAGCACCCACGCTGCGTGTGTCCATTGGCGGACGGCTTTTACTGTCTTTCGGGTGCAATCATAAATAACTGCCTTGCATGGTGGCGACGCTGTACGTTATCGAGGATTGCACCACCGCAGTTATGGTGCAACCATCGCTGGAATGTACAACTCATCTTGCTACTTGGTTGGTGGCACTGCAAAAGCAATTGGGAAATGGTTAACAATATCAGACATAACTACGTAGTTATTGCGAAGAATTCATTTTGCTCATTCAGTTGCCCTGGCTCTTTTGCTCAGCTCAGCATATCTCCTAATACGTTTATCTTCAAATCAACAGAGTGATTTTCTGTTCCCTTTCCCTTCACGCAGATAACTGTTGAAGTGTCTCCGAATATCTAAAATATGCCCAGCGAACATATTCCTCTCACTCTTCAAAACTCCCAAAAAGCCAACAGCCCCTTTAAACGCCGGAAGAAAAATGTTACCAGGGTCTTATCAATTATAATACGTTACGCTCACCACCCTATACTTCTTTTCCTTTTTGCCAACGACGACTTTTCCATCATCATCAACACTGATAAATCCGTTAGGATCGGTTCCTTCATTGCCATTCGCCGACATAAACCTCATCACATATCCCCTCTTCTCTCGAGTTCCTTTACCTTGCGAAAACTGAATATCCACTGGCACCGCCTTCGACCGCTCATGGACCTGCCTGCCCCCTGCTCCCAGCCAGACGCGCCTATCAAAGCTAGAAACCAAGAATGGGCTCTTTTGATTCGTCGCAATCGTGCCAATGTCAGTTTTATTATTGTTATAGTAGTGAATTATCCACCGAGCATTCCGAGGGCGGTATTTGTATTTCCGATCATTTCCCTGGCTAGAGGATTGCTGTGATGACATCGTCGATATCATGGCTGAGCCATCAGTGCCGTTTTGTGCAGCAAGGCTGTGGGTAAGAAGATAGCCATTCTCGCTCTCAAAAACAAGATAACGGCCCTCTGTCAGTTGCCCCGTACATATCTTATAACCCTCCTCGACAATATTTGGCATTGAGGGAGGTTGGGAGGAATAAGGGACTGGCGGCCGTGGTTTCGGGAACTGCGATTCGCAAAACGCGGAACCATCCCATTCGCCGCGGGAGTTACGGTGGGGAGTAGCAGTTTTTGGGATATTAGGCATCGAGAGGTCGGGCTGATTTGATGTATCTCAAATAATTAGTTACACAAGTATCTCCACATACATGCCGGGAGTTGAACTTTTTGGTAGGGAAAAAAAAAAAAAAGGCCAGCGGAGGGTTTCAGAGACGCACATTCTCGAAATCCAGTGAGTTTACTAGATTAGCCATGTTTTTTCTCCTCCAGTGGACCATCTCGTCCGTGCGGATGTTATCATAGCCCTTTGCGCTGAGCCATTCTTCGATGAAAAGGATTTGAGAATTGTGGTCTGCGTGTTCTGTAAAAACGCGCCCGCCACGGGTCCATGGGGAAATGATGTAGAAGGGAACTCGAACTCCTGAATTTTTAAAACGGTCAGATAGCTGGCAACTGATGGTTTTAAGTGCAAGAGACTACACCAACCAGGTCCGGTGTATACGTTTCCAAAAAGACCGTACGGATCTTGCAACCATTCGCCGGGAGTGTTCTCTGGGGAGTGGTAAGGGGGAACATGGTCACCCCAGCCCCCAGATTCTGCGTACATGTTAGTTCTATGTTCCGATTCAATCGTTAAAGACCGCAGGACCAAGGATATACCATCGTAACTAATCATGAGCAGGCTTGAGCCATATTTAGGCCCCTTGACCACTGCTTCCATGATCTTGCGTTGCAGCCATCCTCCATCCAATGGAGAATATGGCGCATGTTCAGACAACTCCTGTGGACCGACAATAAAGCTAACTTGGGGCAGAGAGCCGACGGCGGCAGCCTTGTAGAAAGCATCCAGCCCCAAATACGCCATTCCCTTCCGAGATAATGGCGATCTTGATGGCGCATTCTGGAACTGCTCAAACCAGGCCAAGGGGTTGTCATCGAAGTTATCCACTCCCTGGTAAACCTGCCAAGATACACCTGCCGCTTCGTACAGTTCGAAGACCGTCTTCCATTTGAGAGGATAGCAGTTGAGGTTAGGCGCCTCGCATCCTAGTTGTTCATTGACTTCAGCTCCAAGTCTTCACCAGGTCACAGCCTGGCCCCCGTGGGATCTCACCTGGTATTACGTTATTATCTATATATACCCCTCCTTCGTCAGGCGATTGCGGACTTCCAGGAGCATTGATACTTCCACTGACCAACGTGACTCGGTTTGGATTGGTGGCCGTGATTTGAGATTCCTATCTCACTTTTTTTAGCGACGAAGCCGGCATCACCCTGAAGTCAGGGGCTTTAAATGTTGGTGGGACTGGTGAAAATACTTGATACATATCGCCAACAGTCCAGGCGTCTGCGATGGCAAACTGGACAGGCAAATCCTGTCGTTTATGATAGCCCCAGCTCCACGGTGTATTATTTCGCACCCATCCATCATTCAATCCATGATTGATCGAGGCATGATTTTCCGTATAGCCATTGCTTCCAGCAGACATGCACTGGATCGCCTTGGACCAGTTTCCCCCCAGATATCCTAAATACCACGGCAGAAGCGTTTTGGCGTCCTTTGACATTCTCGGGTCAACGGGCCTTTATGAAGTAAGTATACTTCATGTAGTTCATGTCTGTGTAATCTAGCGGCCGGAAACTCACTGGTACCACAACGGCTTACCATTCGGGTTAATTTGCACGTTCGGGTCATTAAACCCTCTCGCCCCGGCCATGGTCCCGAAGTACTTGCAAGTCAGCCAGTCAGTATTTGCAGATTAGAAGGCAAGAATCGTTGCACAGCGCATACAGTATCCCATGACCTGTTTTCCTGCATGAAGATGATAACATGTTCTATCTCCTTCAAGCTGCGGACTGCTTCCGCGCGGACAAGCAATACAAGCAGAGGAATTGCCGTCAAGATGCCAGCAGTCTACAGCGTAGAAAACTTATGGTTAGCAATAGCAATATCCTCCCGTATGAATATGAAACCCAACTTACCACGATAAGAACGCCACCGATCTTCACCAGACGTGCAACCATCGTTCCAAACTCCTCGAATAGCCGTCGTCTTGGGTGTGCTGTCCAGTCTCAAAAGGTGCAGGATATTTGGCTAAGAGAGTAAACGTGTAGAGGCAGCCATTGCTCCTGTGAATGGCTCAAGTAAAACTTCACCTTCATTCCAAGGGGAGGCAATAAGGAGACATATAACTGCCAACCTTTGGCTCCGACTGTCTCCAGCTTATCAATCAGCTATCTTCTTCATTTCAACATGTCCAGGTGCCCAGCAGATACACGTGTGCACATCCTGGGCAATCCGAAGAAACCTCATCCTGAGACTGTTCCGGAAAGTTAAGAAGCTCCATCCCTGACGCCGGGAGTGTGAGGACCAGTAGCTTTTACTTGCTCGACTCCTAGCTGTTTAGGGTGGCAGTGCCATTTTCCAAGACTCCAAGCAAAACTCAACCCATCAGCAAAAGATAAAAGGGCAGCTGGTGGCCGCAAACTCTGTGCAAGGCCCGGAAAAGCCAAGCGAACTTGGTACCGTTACAGATGCTGTGGGTGTCTGTGTCGGACAGCATATCCTGTGTCAGCTCTTCTTGGCCCGGTGGTTCATCACTAGTTAACTAGTTAGTTAACTGATCGAACTGTCTCCGTCGGCCTTAGCCGAGATTCCTGAATGGAACGACCATCCAGCCGCAGGAGGATACGAGGCGCACGCAATTCCCAAGAGTGCCGAAGAGTGTCACCAGGGTCTGGAGAGGGAAAGCCGAGCCAAGGGACCGTCCATTGGTCCAAGCGACATCTGGCAGTTGTCGTCATATCGGTGATCTCTCTGGTGGCATTGTTCCGGGTTCTTGAAGGTTCGAACATTCCAGGTTATTTACCCGGCCTCGCACTCAAGGAGCACGTTCTGGACGTATCCTTGCACCCTGCCACTGAAGAGTTGCACCCTGAAGATCATATCTATCGTCGTGCAACAACCATCCACCTTAACTGGACAGTGACTGCGGGAGACCGTCATCCCGATGGTGTTCGGAAATCCGTCTATCTTATCAACGGTAAGTCCTGATATCCAATATCTGTGCTTGGAATTGAACCGTGGTCGAGAGGACTTTTTATCCCTGGCATCTGACATCGGACCGTAACTCTCTGCAGGCCGTTTCCCTGGCCCAACCATCGAAGCACGTTCAGGAGATCGCTTGATCATCAATGTTAAAAACGGGCTTGCGGATGAGGGCGTGTCTGTGCATTGGCATGGTCTGCACATGAAAGGTTTTCTCGCTCGCTCACGTCGAATGGTGCAGAAAGCGTGCCCTGTTGCTAACACCGTGGAAGATGGCAATCGAATGGATGGCACAACAGGAGTGACCCAATGTGCCATCGCCCCCCAAGAATCTTTTCTGTACGATTTCACCATATCTGACTCGCAGAGCGGAACCTACTGGTATGCTTATTTGCGTTTATCCTATGCTTGTTAAAATTCTCACGTACATTTTCCACTCTGCGAACATGGATTCTGACCTTGTTCCCAGGTATCACGCGCATTCCGGATTGCAGAGAGCCGATGGGCTGTATGGTGGATTGGTGATCCATCGCCCTGCCCCCAGAGGTGTTCGAGGAGTCCAACTTCGACATCCGGAATCAGATATTCTGCGATACAATTACCAAAAGGAAATCCTCCTGCTGGTAGGGGATTGGTATCATAGACGTGCCCATGATGTCTTGGAATGGTACATGAGGGCCGGATCATATGGAAATGAGGTGCTCCAGTCTCCTTTCCTTTCATCTACACAATCAAGGCCTAACAGGCGACATATAGCCTGTACCGGATTCTCTTGTTATCAACGGAGCTGGCCACTTCAATTGCGCCCAAGCAGTTCCAGCCCGTCCCGTTGATTGTCTTGAGGACGGCCATCCCGTGCCATACTTAATAATAGATCCCACACAATCATATCGGGTTCGGCTGGTAAATACTGGGTATATGGTCCCTTACAAACCCTAGACTGACATGCTCTCGTTCTAACACATCGTTTTAAGGTCTCTTGCGGGCATTTCCCTGGGCGTTGCCCAAGGGTATCTTGACGTCCTCCACCTTGATGGAGGCCTAGATGTGCAGGAGTTGAGACGGCCAAAGACATCAAATCCACAATCGATAGGCATCCTATATCCCGGACAGAGAGTAGATTTTATTTTACGGCATCATCGAAATGCTCCAGCAAAATCGTCCCTCACCGTGGAGCTAGATCCAGAGTATGGGCCACCCGGTACCAGGAAATATGCTATTCCCCTATGTCTATCCGCTAACAAAGTTCAGATGCTTCAAGTATTCCAATCCAGCACTCTCCTCCCTCCAATCCTTCCCGATATACAGTACAATTTCCAAGAGCATAAAGCAAACTTCCCTGCCACAGCCTCTGACCCTCCCCGCAAAAAATCACATCGACCTCACACAAGTATCTTCCACGCCAGCCCTACTCTCCGGCCTCCCCCCTGAAGCCGATCAAACTTACGTTGTATATACTAAAATCTCAAAAATGTCTAAGAACCACAACGTTCCCCTTGGCTATTTTAATCACACGTCGTGGCGTCCGCAATCCACTCCTCGATATCCGCTCATCGCACTGGACCCGCACGATTGGGACAAGAACCAGCTCGCAATTTCAACAGGGAGTAAACCTGTCTGGGTCGATCTTGTCATTAATAACCTTGACGAAGGCGCCCATCCGTTTCATCTTGTAGGTAAACTTCCATCTCCCCCCTTTCTCAACCCCAACTCTCTCATTGACCCTCATTGCCCCTTACTTTCATCCATATGCCATATCCATCAATTCCTCCAAACCAGTCCTCTACACAAACATATACTTGAATAATTGTACCTGAAACTAACCAAAACAGCATGGCCACGACTTCTTCGTGCTCACACTTCATGCCGCGACCCAAGGCTGGGGTTCCTATAACCCCTTCGACCCTCATCCGCGGCATCAGCAATTCCGACCATCTTCGAAGGACCTGGAAAAGGCGGTGCTCCGCGATACAGTACAGATACCCCAACGCGGGCATGCCGTTCTCCGGTTCCGCGCTGATAATCCTGGCGTCTGGTTGCTCCACTGTCACATTCTCTGGCACCTAGCAGCCGGGATGGCGATGGTGATTGATGTTATGAATGGATTTAACGTGGGGGAAAAGCCAGGAATTGCAGGAGGTGAAAACATCGCGATGTGTCAGTATTTTTAGGCGGGATTGGCTTCGGGGAACGGGAATAAAAATAAACCGATTTTCATGAAAATATATATCGGAATGGATGATGGTGTGAGCAAAGCCTAACACCCTTTAACGGTCCGGGAAAGTATGGAGTGTATGATTTTTGGAACCCCATTTTCTCATCGCCATACGGGACATACTTTCTCATATTTTCTCAGGCTAAAAACACCAGGAAACAGATGTAGATACAACAAGAGAAATGATCTCAGCTATCAAGGTGGCTGAACAACCGCTTTATGCCCCCAAATAGAATAGCTCACCCGCAAATTGAGATATTGCGAAGTTTGGCGCAAACAGGTAGATTTGTTAGTAGATTGAGAGTCCCGAATATGCAAGCTGGGCCAGCACAAGTTTCTTTGACGCCGTGCAGCCCTCTTCTACCGCCACAGAGTAGCAATTTGCATCGTCCCGGCTGTTATACGGCAATATGACTCGAGGAAGAGAATCAATCCGTGTCAAACTGGAGAAGAAAGCAAAGGCAGACTTTCCTGGTTCTTTTTCTTTCTTATATCTCCCAACAGGCGACCCTCACAAGATGCAAACAATCATGATCTCGATCTCTCTCAGCTTCCGAGAAACCTTTCGTGAATTGAGCAAATTTAGTCTGTTCAGGGGTCACGCATTTGAAACTTTCCGCCCGATGTACAGCAGAGCCGTTCCTGGTGCAGCCACTCTGGTCATACACAGGTTGGGAATGAAATGTTAGCTAAATAAGTTGTGGAGATCTTCTTTTTCGCAAAATATTCGCAACCTTGGGCGTCCAAGAAAAACCCCGGTCCTATTGGGGCTTCATTAACTGCTAGTCTAAAAACAGATAAAATCCAAAAGGTCGTAGTTAGTTATTGGACAACCCATAAGCCCAACCCCTCTTTTTCCCCGCTCAACGCCACATGTATCATCGATATTCCAACTATTCAGTTCCTCGGCCAGCATGAGCGATTGGTGAATCACCCTTTATCCTGTTTGGTTTACAAGGTACCCACGTACTCTGTTGCCCGTCCGATTTATTTAGTTGCCGGGAGCAGCTGAAACGTTTTGCGGCTGCTACGATAACCACCGTGTAATACAGTAGTATGGCCCGTTCCGTAAACTAATCTGTGGAGAGCAATAGTTTGGTGTTTAGATGACGGTTAATTACGATTAACGAACAGTTAGTTCGTCAACGACCCCCTCTCTTGTATTTTGCCCCGAGAATACGGACAAGTATTGTGATGTAATAGTGGACTTCCTGAGGTGGTGGTGACGTCGGCAGAGGGAGGTTAGTGTCAGGGCAAGTCGACACGGTCCAATGACGGGTGATTCAAGCGCCATGGTAGAATCAGCTTTAGCTTGCAATCTTGTCCCCTGAATATCACAGACATATATCACTCCCAAGAAGGTTTCCGACAGGGGAAGATTTTATGAGCAAGAATTATTGACCCCGTTGGTCTGTACTCGTGCAGAGAAAAAACTCGTCCGCAAAATCGATTGGACCGTAGTGCCAATGGTTAGCCAGTCCGGAGTCCGTGATAATCGACCGGGCATGGAAGAGCACGTCTCTCTTTTTCTGGGTGCTCCAATCTCCCTCTGACTGACAGTCTATTGACTTGCGCCATTTTCCAGCTCTTCCTCACCGCAACTCTTAGTGCAGTTGACAAGGTTGCATTAGGGACAGTGGCGCTCTATGGATTGAGGGAAGACCTTAAACTTAAAGGCCAGGAGATTGCCTGGGCGGGATCGATTCTTCCTATCGGCGTACGTCGGTAGAGCAGAGGGCGCATCCTAAACTGAATTTGGACAGTATCTGACTGTTGTCCAAGGGAATTGTTGGCATGTGGCCGTCGTCGTTTCTCGTCCAGAGCTTCCCACCTGCGAAATACCTCTGCGCATGTTTTATAGGTTGGTCTCTGATCGCATTATTAATACCAGTGTGCAAAACCTCTAGTGGCCTTCTGTCCCTGAGGTTTTCGATGGGTGAGTCTGGCCATTATTTATCCCTTATGTCGCAGATTAACATTCCTCACCCAACTCTTCGTCTGTATGTAGGGGTTTTTTTTCGGGCTGATTTCATCTGGTAGGTGTCCTAGAAGCGATCATAGTCCCCGGCATCTCACTCATAATTGCAGGGTTATACAAGAAGGAAGAGAAGCCTCCCGAAATTCCCTGGTGTTTGCCGCTGCCAGCTCCGTCATCAACGGATTCCTTTCATGGGTTGTGGGCCATACTCCAGACTCTGCCCGTTTAGCGAAGTGGCAGTTCCTGTTCCTCATTACAGGTAGGATTAGGACTTTCAATCGTGCGGCTGCTGCTGCTGCTGCTGCTGCTGCGAGAAAGGGTGGCTTATACCCATTTGCAGGTTCAGTCTCTATGGCATGGTCGCTGTTTGCCTTTGTTGCCATTCCAGATTCTCCCATGACGGCCTCCTTCGTGAACGACGAGGAGAAATACCACGCAGTCCATCGTTTGGCATATAACAGAACAGGAATAGTTAACAAGCATTGGAAATGGGGCCAGGCAATCGAAGCAATCAGCGACCCGAAAACATGGCTAATCTTCTTTTTCAACGTCGGAGTGAACGATCCCAACGGAGGTAATAAATAGCTATTAGCTTCCTCCAAAAAAAAAAAAAAAAAAAAAAAAAAAAAAAAAAAAAACCCACCCCTGAATTTCACAGAGATGTTCTGCAAACTGTCAAAACACATGATCAGTACGAGGGATGGAGAATAGAGCGGAAAATTGGTCCTGCTAACCACGCAAGTTACCAAATAATAGGCCTCATCACGTTTGGCAGCGTCACTATTAAGAATCTAGCCGTCTCAGCAGTCACCAGCTCACTTCTCAACATGCCGACAGGAGTGATGTCAACTCTGTCTGCCTTCGTATTCTCGACGTTGGCTGCCAGACGGGTCAACCACCGGTGTTTGGTGACGACTCTTGCATGCTGCATAACGATTGCAGCATCGATTATGGTCTACTCGATTGGAGAAACAACATTGCCGGCCAGATGATTGGGCTGTATTTTGTTTGTCTTCCGTCACTTTGCTGGTGCAGGAAAGTTTGAGACTCGTACAGAACTAACCAGGTGAATATATAAAGTGGTTTAGGTGTACACGTACTTTGGGCCCTACGTTGTCGTACGCAAGGCGTATTGAAGCTCCCACTTGGGACCAACCTCGCCCTAATTAAAACTAATTAATCAACTGACATAAAAAGGCATTTCCCTTTCCCAAGCAAACACTTCCACAGTGCAATACTCAATCCTGTACATAGGATGCTGTGTTGGGGTGTAGTTACCTTGGTCTCCCCATTCTTTGACTATCCGCTGCCTTTTTTATATCCATATCCAACAACGAAATTATCCTGCCCACCCCATTCCAGCCAGAGCAGGACGTAACCCTAACCCAAGACAGTAGACAACCTCGTTGGGCCCCAAACCTTCCGCAGTGCCCAGGCGCCAGAATACACTGGTGGTTTTAATAGCCATGCTAGCATGCTGCTGTGCCAGCATTGCTCTGATAGCGGCTTACTGGGTCCTGGCCGTGTGGGTCAACAAACGCGCCGCCAAGAACAGAAACCCGAATTCCGAGGATCAACCTGACTCGCTCCAAGACAGGACTGATTTCCAGCAGCTGGGTTGCAAGTATACGACGTGAAATGTGAGTGTGTGCTATCCCAAAAGATGGAAAATGATGGTTGTGGAAGATCGTTCATGGCAGCGGGGGCCAAAGCAGGAAAAAATGCATGCGATAGTTCCTAGCTATTCCTTTCGACTTCTTGAATGATTCATTCCATTTATCTGTTTGACGTGTGTTGGGCTTTGATTACAGCCCCACCAGGTCTTAGAAGATGTAAACAAGGGCAACAAGAATGCTGGGTCACCTATTGAGACAATGAGATGGATTGAACCTCATGCAGGTCATGTGCTAAGTCTGCTGAAGAACACAGCCTTCCTTAACATTCATCAGAAGAGGTAAAAGTACGCCAAAGGGTCCGTCCCACTACCGTTGGGTATGAATGGACAGGACATACACACGCTCCATGTAGTCTCATTGCCTCATTGCGTTTAAAAATTATTCTGCAAATCATGAACAAATCAGCAATGCAGAGCCATGGAACTACGACAGAAATTGTCTGTCTGTATAACTGATCATTAACACAGCACCTAGATTGAACTGATTCAGTTATATCTGCTTGGGTAATAGAGACATATAGATTGATATGCTGTCGTGCAAAATTGTGCTAAAAACAAAACAAAATAATAAAAAAATGATAAAAAGAAGGCCCTATTGGAAGGATGTAATGAGAAAGGGGTCTCTAAATGGAGCAGAAGATGATTAGAAGAAGAAGAAAAGACAGCCACCACAAGAAAGCAAAGGAGAGGAACAAAGCGGTTAAAGCAACAAGATTTCAAGCCAGTGCTGTTGCTCAGCACCACTGAAGGAGGGGAGTCTCACCAGGAGGGTGGAAGAGACCAAAGATCCAAGCAAACGACATAGATATGTATCACGCCAAACTGATCATTCCCGGTCCTTGGTTCCCCCAAAACTTGCCACGGGGATAATCAACATCCCTTGCGCGGTACGCACATTCAACAACCATGCGCGCTTTCCGAACACTACCCAAATTGCGTGTTTTCTGGATATTCATCAGCCTGTGCAAAACGAAACGGCGGTGCTCCTCGTCGTCTAGCGCAACATTGCCAACGATGAACAGTGGCCAGAGCAGAGTGGGAGAATCGGGGAGTCTCTCTATAAGACTGATTATCAGATTGACGATGCGGGATTTAAATGCTGATGGTGACATCTCGACAGCGCGCGGGACAGTGGCATTATTTATGGGAGACGCGTTGATTCTATTGTCGTGAGCATTGTGGGAATTATGGCAGTGATAATGTCTTTCGTCGGGATGAAAATAGCTGAGGCCGTTGGGGCTTCCCAGGCGTTCGCGCAGGTAAAGAAGTGCTGTGAGTCGTTTTGTTTCGGCAATATATTGCAGATCGTCGTGGGCTGAAACATAGCTAGGCAATTTTTGTCGGAGGCCTTGCAACGCGACCTCGATATCATTCCGCCTTGCGTTGAAAGCTGAGGTTTCCGACGGGGTGAGTTTGCGGGTTTGGACGATCTTCAGAGAAAATTTAGTCTGTGTGGACCTCCGCAGATAAAATGGTTGCAATGCTTGGTTAAATAAATACCTTTGCCTTCTCCATAGCGCACGTCGATATTTTACTTATTAAAGTCATTAGGCCTCGTGAGCAGCCCATCAGGATGTCAATCTAAATGGTTTGTTTCATCATCAAATGTGAATTAGAAGAGGCCAATGACAGTCATATCTTCTAGCAGGCTCAAAAGTGATATTCTATAACTCACCTCTTCCAGATCGTCATCCTCCAACCACGAATGGTCGACTTGTTCTACCGTCGAGGGATCTTCAACGCCAGTTCGACCCATAATATCATGAGCCACAAAATACATGACGAAGAATCTCTTCAATTCGCATGCCGGCTGTGGGAGCAGCGACATGAGTTGCAGACCCCCTCGAAGATGTGTCATCCAGGATGGGGTGCACCCATCAGTTATCTAGAAAACCAGCCTCATTAAAAAGACAGTCCCGTAGCCGGAAAGCGAGAGAGAAAAGGTTACAGTCTACTTGCATCATGAAAACAAAGCATCAGGACCGTCGCCACAGCCCCAGCACTTGGCGTTTTATCATTAATCTCACTCTGCAGTCCATTGAGCGCCTTCTGTTTGTACATATATGCCTCCCTCTCAAATCTGCGGTCGCCGATGAGCTGAAGCTGATTCGCAGCAATAGCAAGAAGAATATTCCTCAGCGGTTCATGAGGCTGTTGATAATTCAACGCCAATGATGCGACAAGTGATAGATAGGGATTAAATCCCGGACTAAGCGAGCAGAACGGCGCAATACCACGGATAAAATAGTCAAGAAGAAGCCTCTCGACGGGAGAATAATGCGCCAGCGGATGATGTAGGGGCTGGTGTGGGGAGGGATGGCCCAAACCATTCGTCGACTGAGAAACAGCCAACTGCATTACCGCGCTCGTATCTATTTCTTTGCCGTTTCCATCACCAAAATCACAGTACGTTGTGTTTAAAAATAACCATCGACCGACATATTGATTTATAGGTACTGGTTTAAATTCGCTTCCCAGCTCAGTTTTAGTCGGTGATTTAGCTTTTGAAGAACGTTTCGACCATATTCCTGCATCGTCAAATCAGCCCTTGGTTTACGGAAACTAAGAAGTTTCCCAAGACGGGCGGTAAAAGTTATTATACCTTCCCGACCAAAATGTATTCCCCTCCGCGCCGCATCCTCTCTCCAAAGCAATTTGAGACCCCGGACGCATTGGAGGTTGAGTCGTTCGCATCGGCTACACACAGGCAATTCCTCGGTGCACTGGACATGCTTTTCTGATCATTGAAGTCTCTCAAGTCAGCAGTTTGTTATGATTCAACATAGAATAGCAGAAAGTGTGGCAAACAAGCCTTTACATGGCCAGCAACCCGTCCGTCGTCGGCTCTCAGGCTGCTTCCTCTCTCTGCGGGTCATCTGAATGTATAAAATTGCCTCACACCCTTAATCATGGCTGTCGGTTCGGCTCGCTGCAAGGGAGGTATTCCCTTTCCACAAAGTAGTTACTAAACCAAAGCCATCGTAAAAATGTGTATCGTCAAAATGCGGCGCCGTTGGTGGGGTGCTCGATAATGTCTTCGCAAAAAGCTCAGCGGCGGTATATTAGTGATCCTACGGGTACAGTCAGGGCTAGACAGGAAATTCTACCCCCAGTGACGTTGAGATATTGCTGCAGTCAACGTCGCCTCTCTCCGTTGAGAAGAAATCCCCAAGTCTGGCGTTATTCCACTTTGGGCCTTTGAGGCGCAACAACCATGCGCCAAACAAGCTGACTCAGCCAGTGGATGCCAATACGAGATCTCAAGAGAGTAAAACATCCCAGCAATTGCGGGATGGATGATATACGGGGTCCGGGGGTAGATGGTGGGACTGGGCAAGGAGCGATTTTGCAGATTAGGTGTTTAAACCATCTATCTCATAGAAACGCAGAACAAATAATTAACAAGTTACTGCAGTATAACGTAGCTATCGGTATATAGTGCAAACGGTACAGTAATCACTCCCTTCAGCAATCGTTGTCGGGATTAACTGGAGTGTAAGATACAATGGATGTAAAGCAGTCCATCTGCTCGCAAGCTAGCCCAATCCCCTTATCGTTGAATGCCCAGCTGGAAGTGGACACCAAAGCATGCGGCCCGTTTCCGCCAGTCAGACAAAAGGAAGATAGCAGCAAATAACAATGCAGCCTCCGTAGAACTCCTCGCTCATGCGTAACTACCTAACGACCTAGGTATTTTATGATCAAGCCCAGAGAAACAACAGCAAAAATGAAAGCAAATGCCGATACCAGGTCCTCTCTAACAATAGAATTGCCTTATCATTCACAACATGCTGGGTTCCTCAACCCTACCGCTGGGTGACGGTTCGCTGTTGTCACCTACTTGGATGCCCCACACTCTCCATCGAGCATCTTCAATTATGTCCGTCTTAAGCCACATCCCTTTAAATTTCTTCCTGCCATCTGCCTCCCCATCAGAGGATTCTTGACCCTGCCCTTCTGATACATCATTCGAATCCATCCACGCGAAAAGGAGTCTAAGTTGCCAGAGTCTGTCCTTGATCATATCATCCCCACCTCCTTGTCCAGTTGCAGCAGCCACCAACTGCTGAACTGTTCTGTCAAGCGCAAGCCTCGTATCCACAACACTTGGACGCAGCCAGGAGGGTGAACTAATGGCTCTTTTCGACTGGTCCCTGGCATAGAGTGTAATTGGTTGCTGAGATGGTACCGAGGGGATGACCATCGCCTTTTCACCCATATCAAACATTCGGAAAGCCCGAAGATTGAAAATCCACTCCCAGAGTTGACGCGCAGGAAATCGGACTTGAATGGATGATTTGCCTTGGGAATACAGGA